TGATAAGCTATCAATATGTCGAGGTTTGTCTGAACTAATCTGGCTAGCGATTGCAGTAGATGTTGAGCACGGCGTTCCCACATGTGATCCGGTGGGAATGCATGATCGAGCGCCTTGAGCTAGATGAGTCCATTAAAACTAATGTGGTCAGCATCCAATGTCGAAAACTTACAGAGCTATTTATTTTGGGGATTTATTTACTGCTACAGGAGTTTGACAACGTCTTTAAACGTAACACCTTTACATTTGAAGTATAACAACCTGACCAGATCAAAGTTTATGAATGAAAAGGTTTAAAAATTTATTTGAAATGCAACTGATATGTCGATAAGTGTCTGATGTGAGCTGGCTAGTGGTTGCAAGGGATGCGTAGCACGACGTAACCACTCTTGGTCTGGTGCGGGTTCGTAACCGAGCGCTTTCTGTGAGATGTGTCCATTTAAACTAGTGAGGTTAACATCATATGTCAAGGACTTACGGAATTAATGATTTTGGGGATCTATTTACCGCTGCATATTTATTGACCAGACTCAAGGTTTATTACCTCTTAATCGACTATCGAGTTCACTAGGATTGGTGCAACCGATCAGCTGAACTATCCATGTTGAACGATAACGAATATATAATGTTTGTCGTAACATCAAGTACCGAGCGAATAGAAATTAGTTGTTTACACAGGCTCGTCATAAATATATTGTTTATTGAGTTTTGAAGGCGGCCGTCAGGAAAATGTTTGCTCCGTCGACTAACAGGTGGTGTATCACATGCGGTAGTTTGCGATATCAACTCTTATTTTCGACTGTCGAATAGCTTTGCTCTTGTCCTTGTCTTATCTCCGGTTGTTATCGGTTGTCTTATCAAATGTAAGGGGATTACATATGCATACTATACAGTCGACTAACCTTCTGTTGTCTTCCAGATTGTCCCACACACTCCCATTCATACTTCACCGGGACACAACGTACCTTAATGCTAGATCCAAACCTATTAAAGGCCGAACTTTACATTTATAAAAAGCAGTTAGTAGTATGTACTATCAGACTATGCAATGGTGAGTTCTCGATCTTGTATTTTGTACATATATAGTTACTCAAGCTAGTATATGACACATTGCACATTATCAAATATTCGGCTTTGGTGATTGCTCCTAGCGTTATAGGCATGGTCTTCATCAAAATATTTGACAGACTTTACCGTCAAACAAATGTCGAGATTTACGTTCTACATTTAATCATGACATTAATCGACAATAGGTAGTAATGGAACAAACACAGCTAAAATAGTCTGGTAGTCAAGACGATCAGTAGGTATAGTGTTTCCTTAAAAGTTGGTTAGCGCTGGAGGCATTGGTTCATTGTTACTAGTCACGAAAACATCCGAAAGATGTTCCGTCCACAACCACTTAAAAGCTGAAGGCTATTGTATACCGTACCACTCAATAATTATAATTTTCTGACTAAATTATGGTTTTAAACAATAACTTATTGTTTGACAGCTAAGCAGAGAGAGCTCTCAAACGAAAATGCGTAGACATCGTGACGAAATATTTTCTGATGATGTACGAGCAGTCGAGTACTTATCGGTCCTGCTTCCTGCCTAGCCCAGCCAGTTAAGTCCACAACACCAATCTTAGCTTCTACAACATGAATAATTTATTTCAAACATACGGGGTTTATTAATAATCGAACAGACCACGTACTAATAAAATAGGAAACAACGTTTATACAAAATTCGGCCAAATGTGGCTGTGAACGTGGGAGGTAGTGATGAATGGACAGAGCATAATTCAAGAATGGTAAATCGCATAATAATGGTTCATAGGTCAAAATAAGTCTCATAATAAGAGGGACATGAGTATGAATAGATTAGTTATTTAACAATTATACGATAAAATATATATACATGGTATTGGTCCATAAACGGATCCCAAAAGTTACCATTCATTATGCTTATCGGGGCACAACAGAAAAAGACGACACTCTCATCCGCTCCCAGTCCAGACGTTTAGAACGATGGGCGGAATACTTTAAGGAGCAGTTTAGCTGGCCTTCAGCTGCTCTACAACTACCCTCCATTCCCAGACAGTGTGAATAGAACATTGAAGTAGGTCTCCCAACTCTAGCTGAAGTTCAAAAGGCTATAGTTAATGTGAAACGAGGAAGGGCAGCTGGTCCAGATGGATTGGCTCCAGAGGTCTTTAAGGATGGTGGTCCAATTTTATCCACTAGGTTGACTAATACAGCATCTAAAATACTAGCCTTGATAATTATCGGACGCCTAACTAAGACTCGTGAACTGCAAACACGTGAAAATCAGGCTGGCTTCAGACCTGGTCGTGGATGCATAGACCATATATTCACCATTCGTCAGGTTCTAGAACACAGGCATACTTATCGGCGTCCGACAATGGTGGTGTTCCTTGACTTAAAAGCAGCATTTGACTCTGTAGACCGAGAGGTTCTGTGGCAGTGTCTGTCATTGAAAGGCGTACCTCAGAAGTACATAAACCTTGTGAAGGCTCTTTACTCGAACACTACTAGTCGAGTCAGAGCTTATGGCGAACTGTCATCTACTTTTGCAACCTCAAGTGGTGTCCGTCAAGGCTGTCCACTTTCTCCATTTTTGTTTAACTTCATCATAGATCTACTGATGGAAATAACGCTCTCATCGACTGGATTCTCGGGCATTGATCTCCTACCAGGAGGTCCACTTATCGACTTGGAATACGCAGATGACATAGTCCTGTTTGGTGAAGACGCTGATGAAATGCAGAGTCTTTTGGTAGCACTGAGCAACAATGCCAGAATGTCTGGGATGCGCTTCTCTCCCTCTAAATGCAAGTTGCTGCTTCAGGACTGGTCTGCGTCAACACCTGAACTAAGGATAGGGAGTGAATTAATCGAACGCGTTGACAACTTCACTTATCTTGGAAGTCTGATCAGCCCTAATGGGTTGGTGTCTGACGAAATCTTAGCACGGATTCGAAAAGCTCGTCTGACTTTTACCAACTTACGTCACCTATGGCGGAGGCGAGATGTTCGTCTATCAATTAAAGGACGAGTATACTGGGCAGCAGTTCGTTCTGTTCTACTTTACAGTTGCGAAACGTGTCCATTAAGAGTAGAAGATACTTATACATCTTATACTCATTCAGTGTCATTTGCTCTTTACAATCACATGATTTAATTTTCCAGAGGAAGCCAACACTTGGGCTATTCGGTTAATGTATTCTCACTGTGAGCTCTCATTGTGATATCTATAGTAAGCATCATTTGTTGCTAATAGAATGTCTATTTATAACGTGCTATGCTCGTGAAGCATGGATCTTGATGCTAATTGGTTTGTCAGCTAATAAGTTGTCACCAACGTAAAGCTTTACACAAATACACGTTAGCACAAGTTGTCATATCACATTAGTACATCGAGATAAATAGGGGAGTCCAAATAAAATGGTAGCAATGATAATAAGAACAAGTGAACATTGGAAATATAGCTCGAAAAGACCGTGCGAAGGTATATTTCAAAAAGTACTGGAACTCTAGATCTATGGGAGAATAAAAAGTGAATGCACTGACATTATTGTGAACAATTCTGAGCCATGTCACCCGAAGTATCTAGGCACTGACCAGGTTTATTGTGTGGACAATAATCAGATAGTATGCATCATACGAAATGGTTTACACTAATAGTCAATGACTTCATGGACTGATATCCATGTGTTGGCTGGGTTACCCCTAGTTTCCTTCCAACCTACTCCTATTCCAGCAAACATAGCACATCAAAGTATCCGGTGGTTAGGCATACGCAATATATATATATATATATATATATATATATATATATATAATGTTTATTCATCCACTTGATTTCATGATGATTTACGATCGACTTATCACCTTTACCTAGTACCCTATGACCAACCTCAACATTGCACACTCGGTATTTCCACTAAACACTAGCAGTCGGTGTGGCATCTTATTATGGTTTAACCCAGCTTCTTTCTGGATCGTTTATTAAGCTACTAATAGATCAACAAGAGCTTAGTTATATCCTCCATATTAGTGTTCAAGCTGACAGAAAAATCGGAAAATTAATTCCGTATGACAGTGATCTAGAGACCACATTATTATAGGTTCTTGTCTTTCCAAATATTTTTACACCATATCACAACCTACCTCCAATTGGTCCACCAATAAAATGATTTGTTTTCACGGCACACTTCGAACAAAAAGATATAAGGCGAATCCTTACTGATATAAATGTTGAAAACTAGTGCATCAGGATGAGCTTTGACGTTCATATAGTCATTTCCTTGCGTGCGAAATAGTCCTGTTAAATACAGAATTTTCTTCCCTTGAATGTAATCTAGATAATTTTCTTGCTTATTAAATCTCTTTATTTCAGGAATTTTACATTCACGATAGTTGATACAACTAGTTTACCGAGTGCTGTTTCATGTACTCAACTTTAAATCATAATTGTAGTGAAAAATCGTGTTATCTGTATGGCCAAACCAGAGTAGGCGGGATGAGGCTTAAACGTACAGCTCAATAATCAAAAGCCAACAGTTCTAAGCATTAACTACAACTGCGCTTCAAGACCAATTTTTTTGTATACTTTGTTCAAGAGTAAGGGGGGGGGTAACTTTATAAATGCCCTAACGGATTCGCTTAGGGATGAGTCGATTTAGCACTAGAGATTTAATGGATTATGCCACCCCAATAAGGGGTATAAGAAGCTCATGTTAAAGTTTTCTATAAAGTAGAGGGAATACTCCAATACTTAAGAGTTGGGTGCATGGCTCAGCATTGACTGTGCCGATACAAAGCGAGACAACTTGAATCAGCGCATAATTATTTCAATTCTCTTTATTACAGGTTTCAGGTTGAAACCCAATGTAGTTATCGCAATTACTAAGTGCATACTAGATAATAATCTAATAAAAAAATTTATTTCAGTGTTTTGAATTATCTCAATAATCTGAGTTAAATACTAGAGAAATGGAACTTGATTCCTTGTGCCAACATTGGGATTCAACTTTGGATATTGACGAAGAAAATTTTGAAACTGTCGCTGAATCAGAAAAGCACCCACGCCTTTCATTATATAAAAACAAAGGTCGAGCTATCGATCAAGAAAAACGTTGGCGTCAAAAACTCAGCATACTTAAATCTAAAAAAGAACGATCAGATCATTTCGATCATAATCGCTTTTCTGTGAATAAAGAAGAACTCTCAAAACACCCATGGGCATCAACTGAAATAAAGTCGGAAATAAAAAGTTGGCGTCATCACTCGAAACTTTTAATGTTAGCAGAGTGGTTTCTATTTATGCCTCCAAATTTTGAAGAGGAATATCGGATGAAAATTTGTCCTAAAGGGCGCCATGTATTTATCAAGGCTTCAAAAGTAAGAAATTAACGTTAGTAAACATGATTTAAATCACTAATTTTTGGCTAAGTCTGTTTGAAATACTGTCAAATCCCCTAAAGAAGGAATCCTCTTATTAAGAGATATTTTGGTATGCACGCTTCTATACAAACGGTTTTCACGAATACTTGATGAATCAAAACTTGTTGAAACTGATTTTACATTGGTGATATATATTCCTCATCTGTCTTCACGTCAAGAGTCAGGTTTTTAACTCATGAAGCTGTGTCTTAGTGGTTAAAGCACTTGGTCTTCAATTAATAAGTTCAACGTCCGAATCCCCCCACCTGCTGTGGTTTGGAGACTTAAATAGTTTCACTAACCCTCACACAAAGTATGGCTCATATCTGAGTGTATAAATTTCTACTTGGTAAACCAGATAAGTTTTCAAATTTCAATATACGCTTAAATCTGTCTCGTCAATCATCTTGCTTTAGCAGTTCATATATAACCATGTTATAATTTTTCAGTCAATTAACTGTTTGAAAGTCAGTTAGTCACACGACAAAGTATAGCTGTTTACAAAAGTCATATTCTTCAGGTAGTTAATATGTAAAATCAGCATCGATTGGTCTGCATTTGGTTAGATAATAGTTTTCTTAAAATCATATAAAAGGTGGACACCGCTGAATTTTTTCTGTGTTAATGATTATTTAGTTCTAATTCACAACTAATTTAAATTGTATAGTTTGTTGTCTTAAATTAAACATATAAAACTGTATTTCATTTGTTTGTGGCACTAACTACGACATAGTTAAAGGTAGACTCACTGAATACTATCGACATATTTTTGTATGTTTTAGGGTCGTTTTTTCTTGATGTTATAGCATGTCTAGACCAAGAAGATCAAGGTTTGGCCGTTCTGTTAAATAACATATTTCTTTATAGTTAGTTCCGTTGAAGGAAAATTCACATTGCACTTCACCAACCAGTTTTAGAACACCTCCTGATGCGCTTTTAGCAGTTTTCTTAGATGGCTTCATTGACGATTTCCCAAACAGGTTATACGTTTCTCTAGACATAGTCATAGTCTGTTTGAAAGGCTGCTACCAGAGAAAGAGATTTAGACAGCTGAATTCACCACATATCGAGGACATTTATGTTTCTCCTTGAGCTGCGACGTACGATTTGGTGGCGCCAAGTACGTATGCGCCACACGAATCTCAATTGATTTGTATGAGAGCTGTGATACTGCCCGGGTGCCCAAACCGAAGCAGGTGGTTTTCTTAGGAGGCCACACCCCGAGCCTTCGACCTGAACGTCTGACCCACAAGGCAGTGGAGCATCGTGAGGAGATGCAGTCCCACGGTAGCCGGTGACCAACGATTGGTTCATACGCCATTTGTTCCCGCAGGATACTGGAGCCCATGTGCACCATTGGTCTGGGGTCCGGTTAAAGCGCCGGACATTCGCTTTTCGTCCTCTCACTTTTGTAAACAACACCCCCGCCACGAGAAGGCAGTGAGTAGGACTTCCCTGGCAGCGGCTATATACGCGTGGCCATGTGAGAGCATTTGGAGAGGGAGAGCTTACTCTCCCCACTCTCGGCCGTACCAGGGCATTTGGGGGCACGATTTGGTGGACAATGACCTTTATGTCCACGTCTGTTGCACACCTGACATTTATGCTTCTTAAATCAACAAAATCGTACATAGTGCCAATCACCACATAAACAACATGCAGTCGTCGGTTTCTTACGAGTTGTTATCGGCTTCTGAACTTTTAACCTAGTAATAGCGTTGATACTACCGCAAGTTAAATTAGGAATTACCTTCTCAGTTAACTCATTGTGGTACCTGTTGCTTTGTAACCGCTTACACTCATCTGTCAATGTCCTGAGTGCGACGTTTAGATCTTTATCCAGTCGAGTCAAAAGTCTAGTCCTAATCTCAACATCTTGTGATGACTGAAGAGCTTTAATGAATATTAATCATTTGAATTGGTCATCTGTCATTGAGCGTAACTTGGACCGTTTACAATCTGTTGACGACGTCTGCTAGAGCACCATATTCATCGGCTTCGCGTTTCACCAAATTTAGACACTGATATTGAATACTAAACAATGAGGAGAATTCACCGAATATCTGTGACAATTGAGTTACCGTCTTCTCGAAACTGAGCTCTCAAGGTAACCTTGGCAATATATGGTCAGAATAACGTGCATGTTCATTGCTTCCCAACTTCAGTTTCAATTTGGAAAGGACAGGAGGCTTGATGGCCTGTGTTAGTCCTGGCAATGGTGTTCTTTCAGTTGATCCAACTTTCTTTTGAAGTAATCGACGGATGGAGCCTCAACCACGTGCTGAGGTAATGAATTCCACTCGTTGATGATTCGATGGGAAAGTCGGTAGTCAGCTGACAAGTAATTTGTTCTGGGCTTGTGAACTTTTTTGGAGTGTCCTCGTAAATTCTCTGTTTTTGGAAGACAAGAAAAATGAGGGCACACCAGGTACAACTTTATCACTTAGCAATTTGAAAACTGTAATCAAGCCGCCTCTAGTTCTTCAATATGACAACGGGAATAGGTTTGGCTTGGCCAGTCGAGCATCACACGAGAGCTTCGCTATTCTGGTAATCAGTTTAGCTGCTGTTCTCTGGACCTTTTCCAAAAGCTCACTGTATTTTTTAAGCAGGGGCTAGCCGCTTGTATGCAGTACTCAAGTTTAGAACTAACGAACACTGTATACAAAGTCAAAAACGTTTTAGCGTAGACACGAGTAAAAGCCTTACGTATTGATCACAAAGTTCTAAAAGCTTTGGTGGCCATTGCATGGCAGTGTGCAGTAGTCTTTAGATCTTGGCTAACGATGACTCCTTAGTCATTATGTGTCTGGACAACAGGTAGCTCAGTGTTATTCACCGTGTATGTAACTGTACCTTGATGACCGATGTGCATCACAACACACTTGGAAGTATTTATCGGCAACTGCCAGGTATGAGACCATTCAGATAATTTCTTCAGGTCATTTTGGAGTTCTAAGCTATCACCCTTACATCGTATCGTTCTCCATACCTTGACATAGTCAGCATATAGAAAGACCAATGATATTAGGAGAGGAAGGTCATTTACATACAAGAGGAATAGCACTGACCCCAAAACTGTACCCTGAGGTACTCCACTAAGCACAGTTTCCCAACTAGATCACCCGTACTCTTTGTTGGCATCCAACTAGGAAGTCTTCTATCCACATCAATAGGTTGCTTCTGATTCCGACATTTCTTAGCTTATATAACAGCCGGTCGTGCGGAACTTTGTCAAAAGCTTTGCTGAAGTCAATGTAGGATACGTCTATAGGTAAATTTTGGTCCTTAAGAGCGCACCAGCTTTCACGGGCGACTAATAAGTTAGTGAGACAAGAGTAACCTATTCTGAAACCGTGCTGCTTCTCCGAAATGATCCGGTTTACATCGAGGCACTTAAACAGCTCCTTCAGGATAATCTTTTCTAAGATTTTAACAACCACACTAGTTAGGCTAACGGGTCGGTAATTCTCAGGTTTATGTTTCGTACCTGTTTTGAAGACAGGGCTTAGTATGGCGTTCTTCCAGTCTTTTGGTAAACGACCCTGCCTTACGGATAGCTTAAGGCATATACTTAAAGGGTTCGCAACGAAGCTAGATAATTCCTTTGATAGCCTAGGATGCAATTCATCGGGCCCCGTGGATTTACCTATGTCAAGCTTATTTAGCAAACCAAAGACATCAAGTTCTTTAATGGTCACACTATCCAGTGTATATGTGTGGGGGGTTTGTATATGCTGACGGGAAGGGTGCTTCTATGGTATATACATTGCTAAAGTATTTTGAGAACACTTGAGCCTTACCAAAGTCATCCTCCACTAATGATGCGGCAGTACTGTCTCCTCATAGTGCAGGGATATTTCCTCTTCTTTTTGTCCTTTGGTTTATATGGGAATACAAGCGTTTAGGACATTCTATGGATTCCTTAACAATTCTTTGTTCGTACAGCTTTTTAGACTTGTGGAGGGTCGAGGCACAGGTATTCCTGGCTTTTCGACACTGAGACTTTGTCTCATCAGTCCTCAGTAACCTAAATCTATTCCATTTTTTTTCCCTTACGGAGAAGGATGCGGATCTCCCTACTGAACCATGGTGGGGAGTTTCTCGGCCCCCTTGGTATAGTCCAAGGAATGTGGGGTGCGGTAACTTTTAAGTATAAGTTTCGGAATGCGTCCCAAGCCGTTTCAATCGAGGACTCTGGGTCTATTGTCCAATCTACTAAAGATGCTGAATGCATGATATCTGGTATGTTTGCTTTCCAGACGTTAGGTCTGAATTGAGCTAAAGCGTGCTCGATATTGACAGTTATATGGAAGTCAAAAGTTAAAACTGCGTGATCACTTTTACCTAGGGGTGGCATGTAATGGAGGTTCGCAACGTCATCCTCATAGTGAGTCAATATAAGATCTAGTAAGGATGATTCAGTGTCCGGGTCGTACCTAGTCGCTTCTTTCACATGTTGCACTAGGGCACATGTTATAGCCGCATCGACTAGTTCCTGTTCGAAGGAATTATCTGACGATTCAGTTCGCAGATTTTACCAGTCTACCATAGGTGCATTAAAGTCCCCTAGGATTAGACATCGACCACTTTGCGACCAAGTATTGAGCCTGTTTAGCAGGACATAATTTACCTCACAGCCTGGACTGTGATAAATCAAACCAATCAGCAGCTCCTGTCCCTTGTATTTCAAGCGGCAACTAACCAATTCACACGTCCCACTCTCATGGTATACACTGTCGATAATGATAAATGGGATAGAATTCTTATTGAGTATAGCCACCCCCTCTACGCTTTTGTATTCTGTCAGCCCTTACTAAAGTAAAACCCTAAAAATCAAGTTCCATACTATCTATAGACGGTGTCAGCCAGGTTTCTGTGACTGCGATTATGTCTGGCTTTGTAGAGTCAATCTGTTCACCTAGTTCCGATTGCTTATTGAGTAAGCTTCGGGCATTTGTGTAACAGATCCGAAGTCTATTTAAGCGGCTTCGGCATCATTCTCTGTCGAAGCCTCACAACCCGAAAATTTACAATTTTTAGGTTCTTTTCGCCAGCGTCTAACCTAATTTGTAGTTCATTTTGGGTTCCCGTCTTTTTACACGGTCTGCCAACGGCAAGTCCTTACGGATAAAAACTTCCGAACCCTTTAATGTATGTCCATTCTGTAAAATTAAGTCCCTTTCATTTGAAGATTTGAATACTACTTTAAGCAGTCTGGATTGGTTAGGCTTGAAGTTCGCTAGACTACCTAGTCTATACACCTTTAGCAAGGTGACTCCGTAGACATTTTGAGGCATGAGTTGATTAAGTAGCTGTTTTATCAGAACATTGTCATACTCAAAACGAGTTTTTGGTTTAGAGCTTTCGCTCTCCTTGATTCTATGAAAAATAAGTGATCTGTCATTGTGATCAGCCTTCAATTTCTCAACTACTTTTATGGGGGCAGGATTCCCTTTTATATCGGTATTTTGTTTCTTCCTTACAACCTGTACCCATTCGTCAATGTTGCTTGGAGAAGCAACCACAGTCGCGTCACACATACTGCAGGATTCCGGAGGGTCGTCGACGACTTGGGAAGTCAGGTTATGTGTCCCGCTAAGAACCGATTGAGCCTTGAGATTGCGGCTTTTATGTGTTTCCTTCTGGATACCATTAAGAAGACGTGGGACAGAAGAAACTTCTTTTCTTGAGTTTTTAGTTAGGGCAGGCCTCTTTGAAGACTGTTCTTCCTCCTTTGGACAGCGCGAGTCAGCTGTTTTCGGACTCACCAGAGTTTGCTTCACGCCAATTTGCGTGTCGACAGAGCGAGTACTTGTTGATGTGTCCCGACCACGCTTGCCAAAGCACTTTTTTGCAGCATTTACCAATGAGAAGGCCTCGGTTAGCAAGCTGTTAGCATCCGAACAGCACTGTAGACAAAGCCATACGCAACCATTTTTACTGAACCGTTTGAGAAAGCCGCAGGCGTTAAATTTGTGCAAATTTCGTGGTACCAGTCTTTGCACTCATCGCACTGCATGCCGCTTTCAACAGGATAACGACAGCACGGACGTTGGCAATTGCTTTTTTTGCACTGTCCAGTCATTTAAACTCGGGTCTTTTTTTTAAAAAGAAGGACTATATGCAAAAATACTCAGAGACAAAATGATCTGTGACCAAAGAAGTGGAAAATTGTAGATTGTTGGAGCCAAAAAGTACTAACAGATACAATATAAAAAACAGTACTCAAAAGTACTGACGACATACTACTTTAGAAACGAAAACGATACTCTAATCGAATACTTTAGTTGAAATAAATTCAATTATATATATATATATATATATATATATATATATATATATATATATATAATTTTTACATTGATTAATAAGGCAGAATTTTAAATTTTCTTAAAGGGAAAGACTACAGTATACACTAGGAATGGACGTCAACTGATATCCTCTGTTTCACGACTTCCAGGAGGTGGTTTAGGCCAAAGTGATAATCAGAACAGTTCATATACAACTTTATTAGATTGCATATTATACTGTCCGGAAAAGAATATTGATTTCAGTAATTTACAAATGGCAAATGAAACAAAGCAAGTGACTTTTGTCTTCTACGTGGTTGACATTATTTTTATGAGATCTACAGGTTATGTCAATCTACCTGTAAGTCTGTTGACGAATTTCACTAAAATGGTACAACAGTATACTTTACATTACGTTTTTTTTGTCCTTTTTAACTCAACGAAAAATAACATACTTAAGCTAAGGCTTTCTAACTAAATGTTCTTAGTCATTTCTAGATTTGTTAATATTCTTGTTTTCATAATTTATTGCAACACTCATTACTTCATTTTAAACATCAAGAAATCTGGTAATGTACAGAAGGTTTTCAATCTGCTGGTATGCACATTCTAGAGTATTGTATGGAAATTCATGTCAGCGTATATTTGTTCCAGGCTTTACGTCGATTACGACTGACTGAAGTTAGTACTAATCAAATATGGGTTATGAATTGCACATTATTTGATCTGCGAGTAACAAGTATGCATTTGTTTCTTAAATGAAGTTTTTGTATACATAATCTCAGTAATAGATTACTTATTTTGTACGAACAATAAACATACAGTGTTTGATAATGTAATAAGAAGACGGAGATTATTAGAACTATGTGATACATGCAATACATTTCGAACAATCTTATCACACATATACTTGTTAAGGGCATTTATATATAAAAATCAAAGGTCAACTACACTGGAAATGGGGTAAGAGGAGATAAGGTTTATTGAAGACTTAGCCATACGAAAATTAAAACACCCTTTGTGTATTCAAAAACAGTTTGTTCTTACCTTAAACCTACCCTGGTAATATTGACATATTATCCAGAGTGATTAGGTTCTGAATTGTGTTCAGATTATTATTATTACTTTTATTATTATTATCCTTATCTCCTCTTACTCCATTTCCAGTCTAGTTGACCTTTTATTTTTATATATAAATGTATTACGCTAATATATCACATAGTTCTGATAATCTCCGTCTTCTTATTACATTATCGAAATAGTGTTTGGTTTCTGATAGTTGTCTAGCTTAAATCACTATGTGATTAAACTAACTACGCGTTAAAAAATCTTCATAAAACTTTTGTCTTATTAAAAATTCGAGCTTAGCAGTCTTATTGATCGATCATTATTTATAAAACTGTTAAATTAACCTTGTTAGTTCGTACACATAGTTCCCCTTTTCTCAAAGAGAACTCTCTTTAAGCACATTTCGGCATACTTTATCAACTTATAGAGTGAATAGGTAATCTATTCATATCTACGTAGCATGTGTCATTGTAATTAAACTGAAATGTTCGGGCAAAATTTTTAGATTAAGTATCTAGTGTTTACTTACTATATTGTATATGTACTAATACTATTTTTACCCTTCAAGTTTTATGAACGATCCCAATGGTTAGAAAATTATCTCAAGCAACAAATAGAGGAGTATAATGAAAGTGATCCCGTAAGTAGATTTATAAATCATGGTCATAATTCGTGTGCAATATATCGAACTAAATTTTTAATAATAATGACACATGAATATCATTTTGTCATAAGTACTAATAATATTTTATTTTCCTTACTAAAACGACCGGTTACATTTTCTATGATGATTATTGTGAAGTCATTTAATTAATATCATCTTTAACTAAGAAAATTATTTGCATGATTAATAATAAGACTTGATGACAATTAGTATTCGAATCCAAAATGCATTTCATTGTTTAATATTAATTATCTGGTAATGTTGTGTTGGAACCTTAAAACCATGGTATCCGCATCAATAAGATATATCTCTGCTTTAAAAGTATCTACTTTACAATTACAAATTACACTATAGGGAAATTTGTAGGATGCAAATTAGTATACTGTCGAGTAAATGACTATTCATGTGTTATCTTAAGTTGACTTAACTTTTCTTATCCATAAGTTCAGTAATATACCCTGTTCATTGTGAATAAATGTATCTGGAGAGCTCAATATTCTAGATGAACATGCTATGTAGTATACTTTTTAGCTTGCAATAACATCCCTCCAACCATGGAAAAGCTATTTAAAGTAAAGTTCAGATAATTTCAATCCAAAACATTTGAGTACAATTTTCCTGATGAAACGTTTAAATGAAGTATCCTACCTAATGTCTAAATATGAATTTTCATGAACTAAAAATTACGGATATTGTTTTGATTAAAAAACAAAAAGCAGTTTCATATATGGTTCGCCTTCAAATGAACACGAAACCTTCTTCAACTCTGAAAATGTCTTTTTCCTCGTGCTTCATTTTAAAAATTGCCTAATTAAATAATGTATATACAAGAGTGGAAAATATCGTTTAAGATTAAAATTTGAGAATCTTTAACATACTGTGAAAACGTTCATTGAGTAAAATATATTCATGTCATTACCAAAAATATAAAATGTTTTTCCTTTCTTTAAAAACAGGTTGCTTTTCACATTCTGCCGTCATATGAATGCGATGTAGGATCAATGCAAGACGCATTCTCGTCAATCCCGTCATACGAGGTAGCTCAAACATTCAATCATTTGTCACTCAATTGTAATAGTATATATATATATATATATATATATATATATATATGATGTATAACACAGGATGTATGTCTGTATGAGATGTACTCGCAAAGCGTGGAACTATTTACCGATAAAATCACACAAGATAAACAATCGGATGTAGTGTTTATGACTTATAAAATAAGCAGAAATGAATAGTGGCCAGCAGTAGAATCCAGAATGCATGTTTCATCTTATTTGGGACTTACAACCGAGTCTACCCGGATCCCAAAGTTGATGTCTATCCAGCGACTCAGTAGTGACTAGTCAGTTGCAGTCCTAAACACTAATGGAAAGATCCAAACAACCGATACGAACGAAGTTTACAAAAATAGTACATTTGTATGAGAATGCTTGTCGTTTGCATTTCTTATAAAAGAAAAATTATTAATTCTAACAGAAACAAACAAATGTCGGAGATTTGGGACGATAAAAGTTTCTTTTCATATATTGTACGTTTTGTAGTAAAAATGTAATGATGATAAAGTAATGTTGATTTTCGCTGGCAGTTCTCTGGTGGTTACTTTTCTTACCAACAAAGGCGCTTAATTTATAAACAAACATTCTCATTAATATATACACGCGGCTCATTCTAAGTGCTGGTCCACATGAATATAATATATAACTCCTAGAATGAAAACTCAGTGATTAGTAGGATTCGATTCAATCTAATAAACCAATTCACTTCATTGGAGTTTCTTGATGTTTATTATGCAATAGTCTTAGGAAACTGTTGTGTTCTGCATTGAGATTCAGTCGTGATATATGCTTCATGCGGTATACAAAACCTACTATGCAAATAAGATATAAGTGACATATTGTGTTTCATGATTGTTAAGTAACTGGACGTGGGTCGATATTATAATATTTTCTTCCATAGTACTAACAGCAAACTGACTAAATTTGTTACTGCCATTTATGCATTATTAGTTAGCTGCATGAATTTTTCCACTTCACTATACCTCCAACTTAAAAAGTATAACAGCAGTCGAGCATCATAAAAATCTTATGATTAAAGTAAAATAGGAAATACCACAACACGTACAGCAGTTTGTAAATATTAAACTTACAAAATCCTATTTATCGCTAACCAAGTGTTAGCTTTATGTCAGAGTAATTAATTGATGAGTTGGAAAGTGTTACATCGTACCGCGTTTGGAGAGCAAAACATTCAGAACTATCATATGGAAAATCAGTGTCCATATTTTTATTTTATAATTAAAAAATACTTAGCTTATTGTATTTTATATTCCCTGTTATGTACTCTTCCAATGGACACACAAACTGTTGCTAAATGTTTTTTACCTTGACCTATTAGGGGCGGCCAAACCAAAACATGGCATAAGTGCTTGAAGTCATTAACTTCTAGTCCGAGCCATGTTGGTAGATGCAGACTACTTGGTTGGGGTCCGCGTGACTATCAAGATCAAGGGTTGGAGACTGGGTGGCATTGCTCAGAATCGATCAGAGTGGCGTAGGTGTATACACCCTCTGTCTTCCCTTAAACTATGGGATTAAAATCGCTTCATATCTTTCTACGAACGAATTCGTTCTCCCTGTAATATATCCTTATATGCAACCTTTCTTTTATATATTACCACCACTGAATTAACTACTATGAATCCGGTGTTCATATTGTTGTGCTAATGAGGTGTGGCAACTTGGACCGATGCATATATATGCCTAGTCCTATGTTGTAGCTGACTGAAATATTTCACCTCCTCCAAGTTATTGTTAATTTAATACGAACTTATTGCTCAGTTTTACTTCACTCAACTTAGTATTGTGCACATTGCAATTTCCTATCTATGGTGCTGTGTGACCCGGTATTCAGTATATATTATTATATGAGTTTCCAAATCATGTTGGATAGGGCGGAAACTTTGCATCAGAAGTCTTATCTCCGTGTTACTCCCGTCTTCCGATTAGCTAGTAGGATAGATAGAGGCTGCACCAATGGGCGTTAGTTACTGATGTTAATCATTATCTCGCAATAATTGAGTGGTTAGTCGGACGAAGGTTATTGGTCCTATGAAAAAGTAAACGGGGATAATAATCAAGACAAAACTCTCGTTTTTTGGTGTTTTCGCCTTCCCTGTCAAAATGCTCTCACACGACCACACGTATACAGCCTCTGCCAGAGAAGTCCTACGCACTGCCTTCTCGTGGCGGGGATGTTCAAATAAATAAACTAGCACTCGAGGCGACAAACTTGTACAGCTTTGGAGCTCTTAAAATATCAATTACATATTTGACAGCTAAATCAGTCACCCTAATCTGATTGGTTAACTGTTACTAAATCCATATAAATGCATTCATGTGTACATTTAACCTTTATGTTTATATAGATTACCGACTAAGTATTCTGGCACAATTCACTTACACTTCGATGTTCTCATTCTGTTCATGAATATGCGATTATCGTAGAAGTTTAAATGAAAGTACTCATCATTGCAAATGATACAGTGATAAGGTGTAAATTAACATTACAACCAGTACAAATAAATCGATTTTTAACTTCCAACCATAATTTTATTCGGACTGATTATCGAATATAATGTAATATCTCTTACATTTTATTTGCATTTAATGTCCCCCTATTGTTTGTTCACAGATTGATGGTGTTCTATTTTACCACAAAGATGTTAATTACGAACCTGGAGCAACTCCTCTTGTTAGCTGGTTGAAACCATATATGTTACCGGAATGGTTCCCCAATATCAATTATCATTCGGATTTCATGAAAGATATCCCTGACGATTATACTGACTATATTAATGGAATACAACAATATGAAGCTACAATGTCTTCGAAATTATTACATTCCGTCATCCAGTGAACAATTCCTGAATAGATCTACATAGTAACTCACTGTAGTACCTTGTTGGTTCATGGTTTTCTTTACATACATGAAAACAACCATCACATATCGAAACCTTTCATCCTCACATATCCAAGTGTATTCTTTCTCTAGATTATCCGTACAATAATTTCTCTTATTCACTAATCAAATGTTGTGCATTAACAAATACCCTGGGTTTATTCAGCAAAACCAACCGTTAATAAGGTTTTGTAATGCACGCATAGTTGCTCATAATTGTAACTGGATTCATAAATACACAAGCTTCATTTGTTACCCTGTCTCAAATATCTTATTTCGATAAATTTAGTGACAACGATCACCTTTCTTTTTTCAGGCGTAACATCAGCTTGTGCACATACTAAGGACGTTGTGTCAAAATGCCGCAAAATTTTATTTTATTCACTGAGCAAATTATGGTTTGTTTAACCATGGGAATGGGACATAATTATTCACATATGTAATTCTAACGATGAGTGTACCCTTGTTCGCAGCCTTTTCCTTGCCTTCCAACGAAGCCAACTGCTTCAAGAAAACTGTGGTCATGGTCGAATATGATTCAATACCCACTACTTATTATCTCAGATTATCACGTCAGGTTCGTGAAACATTCTATAACATCGTATACTCGTTATGTGTTCAGTGTTATACTAATCTGTACAAATATTTGAACTGTGATGTTGAATTAGTACGAGTAACAGTTTCCCTTTAAAACATCAACGTACTTCTCTTAATAGCGAATTATTCTCTCAACCCATTACGTTGGATATCAAGTAACCAAATACGAATTGCGATTAACCATATTAGACGTTGGGTCACTAAGTGCTGTCATCCCGCTTTTGGAGGACTTCAGCACCTGAAACCGTACGTTCGACTATTTATTTATTTAAACATAAATATTGGTACAAGAGGGCACCAGATATATGCACCACACAAAACAATAATAATTTGAAGAGAAAGGAGAAAAAGAAGAGAGAGAGAACAATAATGGGGGAAACGGAAAGGTACAATCACAGGGAATCTTACAGTTAAGGAAGAAGCAGCCATATCTGATAACGTCTCTAGCCACTGTGATGCACCATCTCTCGGACCCCAGCCAGGGAATCGTGAAGGACCAACAGAAACTAGCCCTTTGCAGCTTTCTTCCATACCACGACACCATGTCATTTACTGACCACCTCTCCGCTTTTTCCAACCATCACAGAGTCGGCAAATTATGCACCACGAGGAATTCTCTGGGACGACATTACTAGAACATGTCCAAGCCACCGAAGTCGGTGTTTCAAGATGGTGACACCAATCGAATTATCGTCTCTGTGTCCGAACACACGATGCCGGACCTCTGCATTAGTAACATGGTGTTGCCACTGGATGTTAGCAATCCTTCGGAGACAACGATGATCGAACACAGACAGTCGTCTAACATCCTCAACTCGGAGAGGCCAGGTTTCACAAGCATAGAGCAAAACTGCTCTCATCGTCGCGTTGTAGACCCGACCCTTTACAGCCAGACTAATATCACGAAGGCGCCAAAGATGGCCCAGATTGGCACAAGCCACTCTGGCTTTCCCTTTACGTGTATTGATCTCATCACTTACCACCACCAACACTTATGCAGCTACCTAGATACACGAACTTCTCGACTACTTCTATCTGCTCACCATCCAGAGTGAGTACAGGATTAGAATCCTGCCAATCTTGTAGAAGTACTTTGCACTTCGAAGGTGCAAAGCACATACCATACCTAAGGACATTGATTGCCAACTGATTAAGTGCGGATTGCATGGCTTGGGCATTCTTGTACAGTAAGACAATATCGTCCGCATACTCAAGGTCTAGAAGTCTTTCTCCAGGCAACAGATCCGCACCACCATTACTTACATTCATCAGAGCTGTTTCCAGAATGTCATCGACGGCAAAGTTGAAGAGGAATGGTGAGATTAGGCAACCCTACTGCTTGAATGGAATAATAGAGAGAGGTGGTTGTATATCCTCACTCTGCCTGAGGTGTTTGTGTATAGGGCTTTTAAGATGTTAATAAACTTCTCAGGCACACCCTTCTTCAATAGACAATCCCAGAGATCAGTTCTGTCCAACGAATCGAAGGCAGCCCTGATATCAAGAAACACTACGATTGTTGGCTCACACCAGACTTCTTGACGTTCAACTATGTCGAATTATTTTGTTTAGGAACTTACTATTAGTGAAATAGGTACAGCTTTTGTGTGATTCAAGAATTCTGATTCGACCAAACGCGGTTGCAGAAATTCAATCACTATTGGATTCTCAATGCCATCTTTTTTAAACCTAAGGTGCAATGCATTTATTGGACTTTTTCACTCATATATTTATTAGTCTAACTGGAAACTGACTACTAATGCATAACTTTCTATCGGGATCTATAATTCTGTACCTCAAACACAAACATTGGTACAAGGAGGAACCAAATAGATATACGCCACATAAACCACTTGATGTGTGAGAACTAGGATACTCTTTAGGTGCCCAATCCAAAGCAGGTGGCTGTCTTAAGAGCCTGTGACCTGAAAGTTTAATCCATAAATCAGTGGAGCAATATTGAAAGATGCAATCTCAATAGGTTCAGACGACATTTGTTTTCGTAGGAGCTCATGTTCACTGTTTTGAAATAAGGGTTTTTCAACTCCTATAAGTGGATTCATTATATCCGCCTATTCGGTTAAAACGCCAGACACTCGTTTCTCGTCTTCTCAATGTCGTAAACAACAACCCCGCCGCGAAAAGGCAGTAAGTAGGACTTCCCTAGTAGTGCGGACCAACGATAACTTTAAATTCAGTCATCGTTAGAAGATCCTGTAAGTCAGCGAATAACTAGTCTTAAACATAAAGTATTAAACAAAAGTAAACTTTTCAATTTGAACTTTTGTTTTTCTTAGTTTATTCTGTAAATTTGCAATAAAGGTTGTTCATTGAAGAACATGAACGTTCAATAAATCTCTTAAAACAAGGATACATCAAATTATATTGACAAACTTGGCAATGGCTCTATTGTTGTGGACATTCTTGATTTTCTCCGGTTTTTTGACTGGGTTTTGGTCGGTTGGGGGCACGATGATGCCGTCCGCGACATGACTGTAGTTGAAAAATGAATCAAGTTGTAAGAAAACTTGGTACAGAGCAGTCAGTATTTAAGATAAGAAATGATTGGCAAGAATATAAAAAAACCTTTTGATTGATATTGAGAAGGTACTACTTAAGCTGAAATAAGGTTATGCATTTGCCTTAACTGCTACAAATATTATCTATTTGTGAATGTTGGCAATTAATTTACCTTACAGTTTGGTACCATCTGGTACCGGTGGTAATTCAAAAACCATTAGTAACACTCATTCAATATGAATAATCACTTTTTCACTTTAAAAACTGTTAGTGATAGCGGTTCTAATTAAGTGTAGCTTTCAAAGTAACTCTGCCTAGAGTCCCTCTGGGGGCACTGCCGGTCCCAAGCCCGGATAAAGGAGTAGGGTTGGGCGTGGGGTTGGCGACTCCATCCCGTAGAAAACTAACTCGCCAAAAAACGCTAACCAGAAAAAATTATTCAAACCACCTAAACTCTGCCCTGGGAGTCAGATCTTTGTTTAGAAGAGGTATGACGCCTCATGATCAAAGCCGAGTTCCTTCGGAAGTCACGAGGCCGATGCCCCTTCTAACAACCAGAGCAACCATTTATTAGGTACATGGAATGTTCGTACAATGTGAGACTGGGAGTCTTTCAAATGCTGCAGAAATGAGGAGATACAACCCGGAGGTACTTGGGATAAGTGAAACAAATTGGACGCAAGTCGGACAACAACGACTAGCTTCAGTGGAGCTGCTGTTATACTCCGGACACGAACAAGAAAATGCCCCACATACACAAGGAGTTGCATTGATGCTATCCAAACAAGCACAAAATGCACTTATAGGATGGGAATCTCATGGACCAAGGATCATCAAAGCCTCCTTCAAAACAAAGAAAAAGGGCATTACAATGAACGTCATCCAATGCTATGCGATTACCAACGACTAAAATGAAGACGCTAAAGATCAATTCTACGATAGGCTGCAGTCAATCGTCGAGAAGTGCCCAACAAAGGACCTGACTATTCTGATGAGAGACCTAAATGCCAAGGTCGGGATTGACAACACCGGATATGAAGAGATCATGGGACGACACGGACTCGGAGAAAGGAACGAAAATGGTGAGAGATTTGCAAATCTATGTGCCTTCAATAAACTGGTCATAGGTGGGACTATATTCCCACATAAACGCATACACAAAACCACATGAACTTCACCTGATCACACTACGCAAAACCAAATCGACAATATCTGCATCAACAAAAAGTTCAGGAGGACGTGAGAACCAAGAGAGGAGCTGATATAGCATCAGATCATCACTTGCTGGTCGCCAAGATGAAACTGAAACTCAAGAAGCACTGGACAATGGGGCGGACAACAGTAAAGACCGGCATCAAGCAAGGTTGTTAACTCTCATCCTTTCTCTTCCTCCTGGTGATCGACTGGATCATGAAGACGTAAATATCTGAAGGAAAGCACGGGATATAGTGAACATCTAGCATGTAGTTAGATGATCTAGACTTCGCAGATGATCTGGCTCTTCTATCGCAAACACAACAACAAATGCAGAAGACGACCAGTGTAGCAGCGGTTTCAGCTGCGATAGATCTCAATATACACAAAGAAAAAAGCAAGATTCTCCGATACAACACAACATGCATTAATCCAATCACAATTAACAGAGATAAGGAAGATGTAAAAACCTTTACATATTTGGGCAGCATCATCGATGAACACGGTGGATCTGATGCAGATGTTAAGGCACGGATCGGTAAAGCAAGAGCAGCATATTTACAACTGCAGAATATCTGGAACGCAAAACAATTGGCAACCAACACCAAAGTCAGAATTTTCAATACAAATGTCAAGACAGTTCTACT